ATGGTGCCGTTGGTAGGGGGCCACCAATGTCCATCCCCCATTTCATGAACGGCCATGGTGATAAGACTGAATGTAGCTGTTCACCGGGTTGGGGAATCATTGGCGCAAACCTTTGGCATTTATCACACCTTCAAACGAATTCTTTGGTGTCCCACTCCATGCTGTCCCAACAGTAGCCTACTCTGATCACCTTTCAAACCAGAGAATCGGCGCCAGAATGATTTCCACAAGTGCCCTCGTGGATTTCTCGAAGTACATAATCGGTGTCCCCTGGTCCCAAGCATACTGCTAGAGGTCCATCAAAGGTCCTTCTATATAGTGTTCCATTCTCGTCGAGTGAAAATCGAGCTGCTTTGGCTCGAAGGCCCTCGATTTTTTTGGGTTTATGGGTAGCTTTCCATTTCTCAAATAGACGATGTATTTATTCCTCCAATCCCATGTTAGACTTGTTGAGTTGATTTCGGCGTGGCCCTCTTCAATAACCGACTTGGATAACTGTACAACGGCCCCCGGGAGTATGTCATCTTCTTCGACGGACGACCCCAGGTTTGCGAGTGCATCGGCCTTGCTATTCTGATCTCGAGGAATGTGGACCAGAGTCCATTCTTTGAAGCGATGTAATGTGACTTGAAGTTTGTCTAAGTATATTTGCATCCTGTCTTCTCGAACCTCGAATCTCCCATTTACTTGGTTGACTACCAGAAGGGAGTCGCATTTTGCTTCGACAACTTCTGCTCCTAGGCTCTTGGCCAGCTCGAGACCTGCAATGATAGCCTCATACTCGGCCTCGTTGTTAGTTAATGTCGAAGTTTTTATAGATTGCCTAATCATGCCGCTCGTAGGCGGTTTTAGAACGATGCCGAGCCCGGACCCTTTCATGTTCGAGGCACCGTCGGTGAATAGGGTCCATACCCCTGATAACGTGCCCGTTTTTAGCAAGAGTTCTTTCTCTACCTCGGGCACGAGGGAAGGCGTAAAGTCGGCCACGAAGTCCGCCAAAATTTGGGACCTGATAGCCGTCAGGGGTTGGTACTCAATATCATACCCTCCGAGCTCGATGGCCCATTTGGCCAATCTGCCCAATAATTCAAGTTTGTGCAAGATGTTCGAAAAGGTTATGTTGTTAAAACAAATATACGATGGCACTGAAAATAAGGTTTTAATTTTCGAGATGCACTTATTAATGCAAGAGCTAATTTTTCTAAGTGTGGATACCTGGTTTCAGCATCTCCAAGAGTCCGACTCACGTAATAAACAGGAAATTGCGTACCTCGTTCTTCCCGAACCAACACACCACTTACCGCTACCTCGGATACAGCCAGATACAAGTACAATGTTTCGTCTTCTTTCGGGGTGCGGAGCAAAGGCGGGCTCCAGAGATACCACTTTAATTCCTTTAAGGCATGTTGGCATTACGGAGTCCACTCAAAGTTGTTTTTCTTCATGAGCAAGGAGAAGAAATGATGACCCGATCTAATGATCTCGAGATGAATCAGCCCAAGGCCGCTATCCGCCCGGTCAGCCGTTGTACGGCCTTCACATTGTTCACCACTGTGATTTCTTCAATGGCCTTGATTTTGTCGGGGTTGATCTCAATCCCCCTATTTGACACCATGAAGCCTAAAAATTTGCCCGATCCTACTCCGAAGGCACATTTCTCGGGGTTGAGCTTCATGTTGTAGCTTCAAAGGATATCGAATGTTTCCTGCAAATGAGTCAAATGGTCCTCTGCGCGCAGGGACTTAACTAGCATGTCATCAATGTAAACTTCCATAGATTGTCCTATTTGATGTTCGAACATCTTATTAACTAGGTGTTGGTACGTAGCTCCTGCATTTTTCATCCCGAAGGGCATTACATTATATCAGTATGTACCATACTTCGTGATGAACGAAGTATTTTCCTTGTCCTCTGGGTTCATTTGAATTTAATTATACCCGGAGTAGGCGTCGAGAAAAGTGAGGATCTCGTGGACGGCCGTGCCATCGAGCAAGCGATCGTTGTTGGGCAATGGGAATGAGTCTTTGGGGCATGCTTTATTCAAGTCTTTATAATCTACGCACATTCTTAATTTATTTCCTTTTTTGGGAACCACTACCACATTAGCCAACCATTCGGGGTATTTTAGCTCCCTAATTTATCCTATTTTGAGGAGTTTTGTTACCTCATCTTTGATGAACGCATGTTTTACCTCGGATTGAGGCCTCCTCTTTTGCTTTACTGGTTTGAACCTGGGATCGACACTTAGTCGATGGGTG